TTGTTCAAATGAAGTTCTTAGCAATGCATATTACTAATCAAAAATTAAGTTTTGATATATTTACAGTAGGACATTTACAAAATATCTTCATGGAACATGATCTTTACTTAATATCCTAATGATTTTTGGCATAAATGAAAAATGGATAATTTTGACCCATACAATGTATTGTTGGCTATTGCTACAAATATACCCCAGCGACTTAACACTGCTTTTGATTAGTAATATGCATTGCTAAGAACTTCATTTGGACAACTTTAAAGATGATTTTCTCAATATTTAGATTTTTTTGCCCCCTCAGATTCCAGATTTTCAAATAGTTGTCTCAAACAGCACGGCTTTCAGATGATGTATAAATCTCAATTTTGAAAAATTGCTACTTAAGTTTTGTGGTCCAGGGTCACATTTGTTCATTAAGAGAACATTCCCAGAACGCTGTAAGAACATTCCCTTTACAAACTAAAAAAAAGGCCCTCTACGAGCTAAGAACCATCTCAGATTCATGCATTTTGCACAGTGAATATGCACTGTAACTAATGCGGTGGTGATATTTACTGTACCTGAGGGCAGCAGGACTGCCGTGGCGTGGATGGATTCTGGTCTTTCCCCCTTGAACACCATCAGAGCGAACTGCAGGCAGTAGATGCCGATGTACATCAGCGCTCCTCCGCCCTGCTCCTTCTGTGTGGCGCGCTCGCGGTCCAGCAGAGGAAGACCGAAATACACCTTCACCATCTTCACCTGCCCCACGGCGCTCTCCGAGAGCAGCCTGCCGACCTCAGCGTACACGGGAAAACACCTGGACCAGACCGCCTGACACAGAGAGAACACAGATGCCATGTTTCATTTCAGCTGGCATGAGAGTCCTCACTCTGTTCTTTTGAAGATGTGTGGTACAAAAAAAGGTACAAAAGCTGTCACCGGAGCGGTACACTTTCAAAAGGTACTAACATGAACTGTATCATTTAGGGGCAAATAAGGTACAAAGATGTACCTTTTAGTATTTGTACTGTCAAAATCTATTTCAGTCAGTTGAATATATCTATAAGTATTACCAAATAACTAAATTAGAGAATCACAAAGAGCATGTCAACATAATTAGGTGAAAATAAATAAATAACTAAAATCTTTTTTTCTTCTTCTTTTTTTTTTGCATCAAGACAATTAAGTGATTATTACGTTTTTTTATTTATTTTTTTGCATGGTGAAATTATAAACACATTTCCCTTAACTTCCCATTACTGGAATGGAATTAGAGGGAAAAAAATAATTGAATGAATTGTAATGCATTTACAAATAGCGGTAGAAAATCATTAGATTTTGCCTTGTTGTAAAGTTTTTGATTAATGCTGATTTTAATAACAATATTTTGTTTTCATAATAATAATTGAATGATGTCACAAGTAGATACTGTAATTATATATATCATAATTATTAAAAAATAGGTTTATTTTCTTACATCTTTCACAAAAATTATAATTTTTTATTATAATTTATTATTATTTCAGAATGTGGTGAGAAATGTACATAATTCTCATGAAAATAATGTCACAATGCAATACATACACTGTAAAAAGAAAAATCCGTAAAATTTACGGTAAAAAAACGGCAGCTGTGGTTGGCAGAATTTTACCGTAAAAAAATACGGTAGCAACATTTTGTAGGGTTTACGGATTTAACTTAAATTTACAATTAAAAAACTTATTTCTTTAACTGATGTAATGTTAATATACCGACCTACTGAAGTACTGAAATCTTGTTTTGTATCTACACTGATAACCACAAAATCAGGTGGTGATGAGAAAGTCACATAATGAACCAAAGCTCACCACAAGCAGCTTTTCTCACAAGTTGAGAAGGCCAATACTAATATATATATATATAGATATATATAGAAGTTGCACAGTGTCATTCACACAAACACTAAACACCATCATGGTGACACTCATAAAACTGAAATATGCAATAAACATTAATTTAACAACATTAGATGTAACATACAACCCTAATAAACATAGCTGATAAGAAAAAAACTAAGAAGAAACATAGTTATTTCAAAGAAAATCATCAAATTTGAAATGCAACGCAGGGAATTCTGGGAGCATCAATTTACGGGTTTTCCCTGTAAATTATACAGTCTTTTTCACTTCCAAAAACGGTAATTTACTGTAAAATTGTCTGAAATGTCTATTACAGTTTTTCACCATATATAGTAGGGGAACTTACCGTTTACCATTTAAAAAGGTTTTTACTGTAGCATTTTCACAGTTTTTTACTGTTAAAATCACGGTCATTTTTTACAGTGTATACATATATACATACACATATATATATATATATAGTGAAATATAACCAGGCCATGTTTTCATAAGATTCCCTCCACATTATTGGGCTGAATTAATCACAGATTCATTCATGAGAGCAGAATGCTACTAAATTACTCTGTTTTGGAGTATGTCTTATACAGGGACCTCAAAACGTGTCTGGACACCTTCATGTCTTATATGGAGAACTCAAATAGTTCTTATGCCTCTGTTGTTCTTTGTCCAGTCTACATGAGTAGATCAGGTCTTTGTGCTGGGTTTACCTCCATGAGGAAGACGTTGTTCTCCCGGGCGGCCGAGACGAGCTGTCTGACCTCTCGGAGGTTCATGGCGAAGGGTTTCTCGCACAGCACGTTCTTCCCAGCGTTGAGGAACAGCAGACCCACCTGCAGATGATGTGTGTGCAGAACGCCGATGTACAGCACATCTGACAGGAGACGCTCGTCAGTGATTCTGAGGGATTCTGTCTCTTCAGTTCTGTCCAGCTGTGTCTGTTTACTCACCAATATTTGGATCCTTCACCAGCTCCTGGTAGCTGCCGTATGCTTTTGGGATGCCATGAGTTTTTGCAAACTTCTCTGCACTTTCTAGGCTTCTTGCTGCAACTGCAACTATCTACAAAACACACACAGACAGAAAAGTTAATGATTAAATCAGATTTTAAAAGCAGATGCTTGGTTCGATCTGCACTGTATTTTTTATTTTATTTATTTATCCTTTATTTTACCAGGAATTATCCCATTGAGATATAAATCTCTTCTGCAGGGAGTCCTGGCCAAAATGGCAGCACATAAATAGTAGCATAAGTGGGAACGTGAAGATGCATTCGTCACAAATCGTATTGCAGCATGATATACACAATCCAACTTCTTTAGTAAGGATAAGTTTGCATGCATATAAAGCATAGTCCAACACTGAAAGGAAACAACTTTGGATAATTCTCTTTTTTGCTTCAAATGGAAAGCATTTCTTTATATGAAAGAGAAAACCCAATTTAGGTTTGAGTTTTTATTTATTTTTATTTTTTTTAAGATTTTCAATATGAATACTGACTGTATTGCACTGTACCTGGTGATCTTCATGAGAAAGTGTCTTCAGAGCCACACAGAAATCATGGCTGATGTTTCCAGCTCCACAGATTCCCCAGCGGGTTGCCATGTTCGCTCTGACCTTCAGACTGCATGCAGTTGCATGTGCGGAGCAGGCTTTTATCTGCGGTCCAGAGTGCAGGTGAGGACGTCATGTGATCTGATAAAGTGTAACTTTGAAGTCGGAAACAGTTGTCAATGTCTCTCTGTAAATGTATTTTTTTGTCACAGTGGATTGATGAGCTCATTATGACTCAACACAAATCAGATCCTCGTTAAATGTGCCAGCTAATTATGATCAAGCATGTTTATGTTTATTTATTTGTAAAGTATGTCAAGAAAACGTTATGTCACTCCGGTGGAGACCTGCCAAATTCACATTTATGTAAGTCTTACTATCACAACACGTTAAAAAAAAATCACATATCAGCTTTAAATACAAAGTAGAGTGATGAAAATATCCTTAAGATCTCATTCTAACTGGATACATATTAAATAAAAAAAGGAAAATCTTAATATAATATGAATATAATCATAATATGAAAATACATTTTTTTTTGAAGGTTAAACAATATTTCCATTTACAAATGAAAGTGTTGTTCCTTATATACTGTATACACACACACACACTCACACACACACTCAAACACACACACACACACTCACACACACACACACACACACACACACACA